CTGTACTTGGCATTTGTATGGGCCTGGCTTTTGTGCGAAATTCAGATTCTGAATGTGAATCCACAATGAGCTGCTGGCCTGGCTTTGTGTGGCTGCTGTTGCTGCCAGAGGCATTGAACTGTAATGGCCAGAACCGAAAAGCCAGCACACAAGACGGCCAGAAAAGAGGCCGAGGCGGAGGGAGTGAGGGTTTCCCACTGCTCAAGGCCAGGCCCCAGCGAAGACGTTCATTTATGGCAGTTAAAAAGTTATTAAAACAATTTTAGCCGCAATTAGTGGGGGACTTAATGGCAGTGACACAATTGCCGGGGCCCCCAAACCTCATTCCACCATTAGATTTTCATTGCTTTTCTGGGCCACGCTCTCTTTAGTCCAGTCAAAGCCAAACCGAGTCGAAGCCAAGTATCGAATCATCGACTGAATCGAGTCAATCGAATGGGGCATCCAATTGAATGCATCGCATTTTGGGGTGACAATTTAATAAGCCAGAAGATTGTCTGCCACAGGGGCTGCCCTTCCAACGGCCATCCATCCATCCCACAGCAGCAGCAGCAACTCTCTCTCTGTGCCTCTGAATGTATCTTTGTGTCCATGTCCGTGTATCTGTGTCTGGGACTAGCTGCCTGTCTGTCCACTCTTTCGAGATTCGTTTGGCAACTTGTTTGCGACTCTAGTCTGTCTATTTGCTGCTACTTTTGTGGTGGCTGCTGCTGCTGCCTCTTCTGATGTTGCTGCTGCATTTTGCCGGCTCATTTCAACTTGGCCCGAATGCATTTTCTATACAAACATAGATACGAAACGCAGACAGATGTAGAGGCAGAGAGGCATACAACCGCAATTTGATTGGGAATGGGGCATGCTTTTTCCCCTCTTCTTTCCTTGGACTGTGGTAACATTTTGCTTTATTGGCTTTATTGACTTTTGGCAAGTTCTTTCTTCAGCTTACCTTCCTCTCTGTCTCTCGCTCTCCTTTCTCTCTCTCACCAAGGCATGGAAGAGAGCTGAGTGAGTATAGGGTATCCCCAGATTCGTTTCCCCCTGATTGTTGCTGGCTCTGTGTTTATTCTCTTATAAAAATAAATAAACCCAAGACACATGGGCCGAAATCGGTGAAAGATTCCTCGGGGCCAGGACAGGCCTGTTAACCATGGCAGCCAGAGCAGGACAGAGCAGCAGTAGCGGCAGCGGCAGCAAATCCGTGAGGCACCGTAAAACTGGAAAGTTGTTTGGTCAGTTCTACTACTTGCAACAGCCACAGCCACTGCCACAACCACACGCACAGCATTTAGTGTCGAGTGTCGGAGTGTTGCAGTGTCGCGAAGTACTGGCTGGTTTGGTTTTTCTTTGAGGGAAAACTTATGAAAAATCACTCAATTTCCCGGCAGCAGCAGAACTGCAGCGAAATGTGTGTCACCCGCGGAGATGCGTGGCAGATCATCCAAACTGGATGCTGCTCCAAGGCCCAAGATCGGGAGAGCATCCCTCTCTCTCTGTGGGGCTCTCTCTTTGAATGAATTTCCCGCTCTGAGCGTCGCTCGGTGTGTTAGAGACTCAGAAACAGGCTGCAGCGACTTTTAGATTCTGTGCCACTCGATTATTTTGTCTTTTCCATTGGTTTTCGGGTAAAATCTGGTTTCTTTCTTGACTCTCAGGCTTCTCTCCATCTGTCTCCCTCTCTCTATCTCTTCTTCTCTGTCTCTCTGCTTCTCTGTTTTGTTGTTTTCTGCTTCTGATTCTGTTTATTGGATTTGCATGAAGCTGCAAGTCGCGACTTTAGTTGAATCATCGATATCTTGCAGATACTTTTTGCCAAGCGAATTTCGTATCTTTTGGGTGTTTTTGGACTCAGGCAAACTGGTTTTTGGGTTGGGTTGGATTCGATTGGGTTGGGTTGTGGAGAGGGTAGGGGACACATACACAGGACACTGGACACATTTCAGTGTCAGCCGCGTAATCCGTCCGCTCAATCCGGCAATTAGCTCGGTAGAGGGATAGAGCAAGAGAGAGAGAGACCCATAATTAATAAAACGTTGCCCGAATCCAAAATTATGCTTCGACCAAATTGCTTTTGATTTATGCCTCAAGTCGGAGGTGGGGCAGAGAGTGGAGTGCTTTAGACTTTGCTCTGGCTTTCCCCTTTAAGCCAAATTTATGACGAGCTGCAAGCGATAACCTTAGGCGGGAGATACACTCGCACACAGATACAAAGATACACCGATACAAAGGCGAAAGTGAAAGTAGCCAAAAAAAAACACAAGAAATAAAAAAAAGCAGAAACTTGCACTCTGTCGATCTGTCTGTCTCCGTCTCACTCTCTGGTGTATCCCTCTCCCACTCTGCCATCGTCTTTGTCTCTCAAGTGATTTTATTACCACTTTGGCTGCTTCTTTTGTCTCTGTCTCTGTTTCTGTTTATGCTTTGACTTTTGTTTTGTGATACCCTCTCAAAAGAGGGTATCTCTTTTCTGCAGAGAATCTTCTTGTAGAATTCAAATTGGAACATTAGTTTTTATATGAAACAATCCATCAAAAAACTAGCTACTAATTTTCTCGGTAATCGTAATAAACAATCTGCAAGATTGGCAAGAGTATATTTATTTTCGGACTCCTTTTTGGCTGGTTTTTCTTTCCTACGTTTTTTGTTTTATTTTACCCAAGTTTCAAAATAAAATTAAATGCTAAGAAACACAAAAACAAAGGCTACAAAAAATGATTACAACGATTTATACGTAGTGGCGGCGCAACGTGAGTTTCGGCCTCACGTTTCCTCTTTATTGCTCTGCGGCGGATTCGTTGTTTCATTTTGGCTGCTTTTCATTTGGAGCTCCGTTTGGGCCGTGTTTTTTTTTTCGGTTGTTTTCTCGTTCGGTTATTTAATGATTTAAAGATTATGCACGGTCCAACAGGCCCAGAGACCCTTTTACCCTGGAGCCAACACTCCTGCTGGCCACCTCTCGAGGGGACTGGACTCCTCTCTACCTCTATCCCTGTGCTTTTTTTTTTGGCTGCCACAAGCCGGGGCGAGCTGAAAAACTTTCGCTTTTTTTACACCTTTCTGGGGCCAACAGAAGTAAGAGAATGGTGTGACGGAGTGGAGGGGAGTTGTGTAATGTTAATTTTGGGACGAAGGCTGAGAAGGTGTTAAAATTGCAGATAATGTCTGTGGTTTGTTGTTGCTCTTTTTCTGGTATCTCTCTCTCTCTCCCCCTAAGCACCATCCACATCCTCTGATTGAACGGGGTGGGGGCGAAAGGACTGCTGTTTACACTCGAATGGAAAGGAATCTTTATTAAGCGACCCAATTAGAGAGTGGGGCAGAGGATGGGTGGACTCTGGAGAGGAGCAGCCACTCCCGCTCTTTTAACAAATTTGTTCTTCTTTCATGCTTGTGGAAGATCATGTTGCACGAATATAACAGCAGAAGGTGAGGGGCGGTTATTCCAGAGAGTGGATGCATAGAAATATATATATGGCAGTAAGTGTATGACAGAACATAAAGTTGTACGAAGAGAGCCTCCAAAATATGCTAATCGAGGGCAGAGTGCGAGTACTCCCCCACCGCCCAACCAGAGACAAAGGCGGCTAAAGAGACAAATATACAGACAGACGGCGGCGGTGTCTCTGACACAGTTTTGCAATTGTTCAATGGGCAAACACAATTAAAATTGTGAAACACGACTTGGGTTTGCTCTTGACGCTGCTGCTATCGTTGTCGTTGTTGGAGCCACAGAAATGTCAAATGTTCATAGCGATTCTCGCGGAGTCGTTGAGTCGTTGAGTGAGAGCGGGGGGCAGAGAGTTGGCCATATAATGAGACGTTTAGGCAGGCCATTAGACAGATAGCGCGCGCATCCGTCAGATACAGCTACAGCTACAGCAACAGCAACATCAACAACGGGGGAAAGAGCGAAAGACAGCTGCAGATACGAACGAGAAGTAAACGCGGCATCGATTATTCGGTTCGGGTTCGGTTCAGAGGGAAAACTGGTTCTGGCAGTGCCTGCCCGCCCCCCCAACTATGGCGATAACTATTTCAAACGATAAATGCGTGGGAAACCGCGTCTAAGGCAATCCGTTCGCTGGTTTGCTTACGTATTCGCGTAACTATGGATATAGTATCGGTATCTGAGGCACCAGGGCCAGTACCAGTGCCAGTGCCCCCAAAAGAGCCGGCAGTGTGCTTCTAGATCTGCAATTACAGATAAACCAGAACTCATTATAATAAAAATGAGTTATTAAAACCCCAAAAAACTTTTCGCCGAAATCTAGCCATCCGCCGCAGAGTAATGGGGCTTCAACCCCGACCCCCGACTCCCAACCATCGTCCAACGACCATCGACCCCCTGGGCTTTTGCGTTGAACTTTAGATTAAAGACTACTCCTCTCCTCTTCCCTTCCCGTCTTTTCTCTTGTTTTTCTCTTGTTAATTTCTTGGAAGCTGTCAACGATGAGAATTAATTTTTACACCAAAAAAACATAGAGTGTCTTCCTGGTCGGTAAGGAGACGACGTAAGGAGAGGAGTAGTAGTGGCATGTGGAACAGGAGGAGGAGGAGGAGGAGTATGAGGAGCATCAAATCATGCAAGAAATTTGTTACTGACATAAAAATTACCATCATTATAGTGTCTGAGGCACAATCCCCCATACCCCCCCACATCTCATCGCCATGCCGAGACGAATACGAAACACGAAACAGGAAGAGACAACATACGAGTCTACGGACAGCGGGACAAAAGGCAATGTGTGGTAATAGAAACTGTCGAAATGGAAGAGGTGGACTGAGGGGGAGGAGGAGCGATGGGGAAGCGAAACCCGAGACTGGGGCCATGCCACGACAAAGGAGGCATGAATGGAGAAGAAGAGTGCCAGTGGATGGGCAGACAGACGGATGAATGGATGGATGGATGGCTGCTGGGTGATCGATGGTGCCAGAGGTGGAGGTTACTCCGGGAAGAGCTGGAAGCTGGAGGAGATTCACAAAAGAGCAAAATGAAAACTCACCTGCGCATGATGGGCAGCGGCAGCGTGAAGCGTCCGTCGCTCATGAGGGGTGGACCCGCTGGACCCGGTCCGGGGAGGGGCACCGTAGATATCACGGATGTCAGCATTGCAGGTGGCACGGATGGTGGCAGCGGCGGCGGGGGTGGCGGTTGCTGTGGCGGTGGCTGCTGCGAGGGGGGAGGCACCACTGTGATGGGCACGGGCACGGGCAGGGCGCTATAGGGCGGTGGGTAGTGCGGGTGTAGGATGTCCGGGAGAAGGGCACGCGCTAGGCCCATGGCCGCGGGATGTGGGTGGTGCAGATGCGGGGGCGGGTGCAGCTGCGGAGGCGGTGGTGGTGGCGGTGCATGGTGGCGTCTCGGGTGATGCGGGGGAAACTGCTGCTGCTGTTGCTGCTGCTGCCGCCGTTCCCGTCTTTCCCGACGTCGCTGCTCCCGTGTGCGCATCTGCTGCTGTTGCTGCTGCTGCTGCTGGGACGAGGGGGAGGCAGCGAGGTCATCCGTTTGGCATTCGGTGGAGGTGAAAGTGCGTGGGGCGGTGGCAACGGTGGTGGCATTCACATTGATTATATTAACACTGTTATCATTCACGTGATTGTTGCTGTTGCTGCTGCTGCTGCTGCTGCTGGCAGCTGCCGCCGCTTGTGGCGTTGCAACATGCTGCTTATCCACAGTGGGACATGTATTATTATTTAGCTGATTTTGGACACTTGTTGCACTAAACACTTTTGCAGCTGCTGCTGCTGTTGCGGCGTTTGCTGCTGCTGGCACACTATTATTTATCTCCACCACACAAACACCGTTATTGTTGTTGACAATGCTCGACGTGGGCGATGACGACGACGCGACCGAGACGCGACTGCTGTTAGTACCGTTATTATTATTATTATTATTGTTGTTGTTGACTTGAATCGTGAGACTCGGCTGACGCTGGCAGGACCTTGCAGTCGCAGTTGCAGTCGCCGTAGACGCTGACAGCACAGCAATGGTGCTAACGCTCTGCTCTACAGGACTTTCGATGTGATTGTTGTTGCTGCTGCTAGTAGGAGCATTAAGGAACACGCTACTGCTGCTGCTGCTGCCACCAGCATTCGGATTCGTATTCGCATTTGCTGCTGCAGTTTGCGGCGTTGCCACTGCATTGGCTGGCACATTTAAACGCATCTCGACGTTTGCGTTATCAAAATCCGACTGACGTCTCACTCCCCGCTCAAATCGACTTTCACTCGCGCGAAATTCGGCGTACAGACGTTCGAGTTCTGCCAAACATTTGTTGGGCCGCAGCACGCTGCCGTCGCTGCTGTTTTTGTACGACGCCGACGACAATGAATAGTTGCTTGTGCCGCTGCTGCTGCTGCTGCCGGTTGTTGTGAACGCGTTGAATTTTGTCGAGCGAGTGATCGTTGGGCGCTCATTGTTGATTGCGGAACGTTCGTGGCTGTGGCTGTTGCTGTCGCTCTCCCTGGCTCTCTCTGGCTCTCTCCGCTCGAGCTGCTCTCTCTCTCCGGTTGCAGTGGCACAGGAAACAGGTTGAGTGACCTGGCGGCCTGCTCTCGAGTTGGTTTCCTCTATTCCCGTTGTTGTTGTTGTTGGTGCTGCTGCTTTTGCCATTTCGTGCTCATCGTCAGCTTTGCCTCTTCTCTGTTCATTGATAATGCAATTCGCTCCGCCGCTGCTGCTGCTGCAGTCGCTGTCGTTGTTGTTGTTGCTTTTGTCGATGCTGCTGCTGCTTGTCTTTTCTCGGCTTTGTTGTGATCTTGCATTCGTTGCTGGACTTTGTTTTTGTCTTTGCCTTATTTCCGTTGCTTTTGTTAATTCAGTGTCTCTTTTGTTGCTGCTTTGCTTTATTGCTGGCGTGAATGAAGCGCAATTCTATAAAGAGAGAGAGATAGAGTCAAAGGGAGAGCGTGTGAGAGAATAATACAATAATTTTCATCATGACTCAAGGTATATTAAGACAAAGGTAAGGCGAGAGAGAGGCACTTATGACTGCTTAGGCTACGTTGCAAACTTTGCTGAGGAACTCATCAGTAAGGGCGTACCTTATATTTGATATGCCTTGATTTAAGTTTTAAATCGTAATTAATGCTAATTGCTGAGGGATTAATCCCGCTGCCAAGGGGAGTTCTCTCACTTTTCCCAAAGCTGGAATGAAACCAGTAAAAAAGGTGACTCCCCCTTGTGGGGGAGTGTGGGGCAGGAGCTGTGGCATGGACTGGGGCAGGCGCATAAATGTGCGCTTAATTGAATTAATTAAGCCAACGCATAAACATAAAACCCGTCACAAGTAATTGTTGTTTCTGTTGCGGGTGCTGTTGGTGATATCCCTGGCTGGGTCGTTGCTGATAAAGCTGTTGCTGTGCTCCCTCCCCCTCGCACCGGATAAACATACAGACGATAGCATCATCTCATCCCCATCCACGAGACCCTAAATCCGACCCTGACTCCGACGCCCTCTCCCATCCAAAGACGTGGGATGTGGGCTATGGGCCATGTGGATATGCACGAGTTTATTGTGGAAGTTGTGGATGTGAGATGTGGGTTCTAATTATGTTACGCTGTGTTACTTGCATTAATTGCGTCACAGAAATATAATGTGATTTACTGTTAGCCCTAGCCCCCCCTACTCGCGCACTCTCGGATTGTTCTAATGGAGTCGCTGCTGCTACTGCTGCTCAGTCGACTGCATTACGATTGCGATTGTTCGGCGCCCGCCTCACACACTGCAATCGCAGAAACAAAAAAAGAGTGGGAGCGGGAGAGAGCAGACCCAACTGCACAGCCGAAAACCGAAACTCATCCTCACCTAACGGTGCTTGTGAGCTTCGTTGATTCTTGCTAGAGATGGGCGTGGGCCTAGCTTTGAAAGCACGAACAATCGGGCATAACACGAGGATCAATGAAAATAAGCACGAGCATGCGCGAAACCCGATCTACCTTAATTTTTTACATTTTTAATGTTGTAAACCCATTGGGAAAATCTCTTTAAAATAATAGATTTAATAATGAATGTACATACATGTGTGCAAGAGAAGCACGGGTTGGAGTTCCATGCCCATCTCTAGTTCTTTCGCATAAATCTCTCGTCATGAGTCAGTCGTCAGAGACACATACGCAGCAATGGGGAGAATGGGGAGAAAAAGTCTGGGTAGCGACCCATATGCGGATGGGGAACAGAAGAGCTCTACTTAACCCATTTGTTCCTGCTTATTAAGCTCTGCGATCCATGACGAAGAACAGATTTAACAGGGGGGGGAATGGAATCTGTTTGGATCTGCTTGGATCGGATCGGGAATACTTATTTCGCTTGATTGAATACCTGAATGATCCCCCCTTTGACACTTTTCCAACTACTGTTTATTGTTCAGCAATGCATATTATGCACTTTCAGAAGTGTCCCCCATCCGCCTCGCATCTGTTCCATGGTTCCACTTCCACTTTCCCGTCCACTACTCTCCCCTGGCTTTGTTCTTTGTGTGTGTCATTTCTGTGCGGTCAATTTTCCGTCTCGCTGACGCAACATAAACAAATTATGGATTATACACAAAAAAAACAACCCACATGCAAGGGGTAGGGGCGAGGGACGGGGGCTGGGGTTGTTATTGTATATCTATACTTTATTTTACAGTATGAATATCTACATACACTGGAAACAAAGGGGAAGTACAACCCCCGACTCCTTATTCGATACTGATAGGCAACATATGTATGGCGCTTATCTGACGGTGAAAGAGGAGCGGAGCGGCGTGAGGGATGCTAGCGGCACTTAAGGGGCCTAAGTGAAGCATTAGCCCTTATCGGGTCTGTGTTACAAGGGGGGATGTGGTATGAGGGATGTAGAATGGTGGATAGGGAGATGGAGGGGAAACTGTCAATGGGCCCGATAAGGCGACAGATCGACTTTTCGTTCCCATTCGACTTTGGCGGCGCCAACATAATGTCTGCTGAACCCTTGACATCAAATTTGATGGCGCCCCATTAAGCAGCTAAAAGCGTAAGTACTCTTTATAGATGGGGGAGGGCATGGCGAGGCGACAATTTTATGGGACCCCGGACTCACCTGCGATATGTAGTCGTCCGTGAAGGAGCGCATTAGACGCTCAGCGGGAACATTTGCCGTTAGTGGAGCAGCCGCGGCTGCCGCTGCTTTCTTTGGCGATCGTTGCGATCTATCACATGGTTCGGTCTCCGGCTGGGATCCGCTCCTGGGACGAGCCACGCTCGACATGGCCAGGAGGGAGGTCGAGCCCTGGGCTGAGTAGAGCGACTCGTAGGAGGGCGGCTCCTGGATGGCCGTTGCCGCCGAGGAACACCATTGGGTCAGAGTGTGGGCCGGGCTGCCGTAGTAAGAGGGGTACGAGTATCGGTTCCGTCTGCCGCCTCTGCCTCCGCCTGCACCACTCCCCTCTGCGGTTGCCGACTGTCCGGCTTTGTCCAGGTCGAAGCCGGCGATGGCCGCATCGAATGCGCTTAAACTAAAGTTGGGAAAGGAAGGCACGGGGGGTAGCGGCAGTGGCAGTTGCAGTGGCAGTGGCAATAGCAGGGGCACCGGCTCAACTGCTGGTGGCTGGTGCGCGTAGATGGGGTGGAGGTGGGAGGAGTGGGCATGTGGGTAGATGGGAGGCTGGTTCAGCGCCGAGGCCTCGTAGCTGCTGTGCGATTTGTGCAGCTTCCGGTTGAGGCGCTCGTCATCGTCCTCCTCGCCCTCCTCCTCGCCCTCCGAGGAGCTGGGCATGGGCGTGCGCTCGTATGGGGTCCACAGCATGGAGGAGAGGGCCTCCTCCACATCCGGCGGCGCCCGTTGGCGGCCCGCTGCCGATCCCGATCCTGCTCCAGCCCCATGGCTGGGCGTGTTGCGTTCAGACAAGGACATGCTTGCCGCTCCCTCATCGCTCAGCGTCGGCGGGGATCAGAGGAGCACTCGATTCGGAGTCGCAGTCGAAATCGGACCTGGACCGGGGCCAGCATTCTGCAAGGAAAAGGAGGCAAATCCAAATCCAAATGTAAATGCAAAATGGAAAACTTTTAACTAAGCAAATGGCTGACAAATTAAACGCTTACAATGCCCCAATTCCGCAGTTGGAAAAGTTGCAGGTCCCCCTCTACCCCACATTCACCCATCCATCCATCCATTGCTCCCATTCCACATCCAATTTGATAAATTGCGATTAAAGCATTTAAAATTGGAGAAAAAGGTTCTGGTAGTGGTAATGGTAGTGGCTCTCTCCTCTTCGAGAGCTGTCGTCCCACTAAGTGAATATACCCGCTGGCAGGGGAAAGCCCGAGAAAAACCCAAAACTGAAAAACCCCAAAACGAAATAAGCCAGCAGACATGAAAAACAAGCTTCCGTTTTGTGGAAAATATATGCAGAAAAGTTTGCGATGCAAAGTTTCTCTGGCAGCCTCCTTGCTCTCCATGCCTCTCCACTGTGCCGTGCCCCAAGGAGTCGAGGAAAACTTTGCCACACAAACACACACACTCACACTCCACTCATGGATGGAGGGGGAAGGAGAGAGAGAGAGTGAGTAGGCTGTGAGCCAAGTTTAAACTGGCATCGAGTGGTGGGAAAATGGCTTAACGGCCGTCGGACTAAGCGGGAGACATTGAAACGGAAATGGCTGGCCATGGACGTCAGTCGATGCCAGCGATGGACCGGGAGCGGGAGCGTGAGCGGGGGGATGCACCGGCAGGCGCCCATTGACTGCACCACCCATGGAGCGAGCAGCCGCAACAATAAGAGTGGGGAGTGGGACAAGTTTAAGCCGCACGAACAGGAGCATGCAATGGGGGTCCGAAGTTTTATGTGTTGCATATCCTGAGGCGCTTGACTGTTCTAATTTTTTCGCTTGCCCGCTGGCCCTTCCTCAGCGACTTCTCTCTTCCGACCTCTCTCTTGTTGTAGTGCTGCTTCCTCTCCATCTTTTGGGGCTTTGTGTGTTTGTGGGCTTCCACCATTGAATTGCTTTCTTTCTTTCTTTCATTCTTGTTCTTTATTTCAGTCCCTTCTTGTGTACCCAATGCTCGTTGAGAACGTAGGGCATATTGGATTCATGACTGTGTTTGCAACAAGCAGAACGAATCATAGCTGTGGCTAACCCACATTTGAAAGGTACTGGAACTCTTCTTTGAATTCCTTATATATATCCAGTAATCATATCCCAACCTATCATATTTCATAACAATCATTTTGATAGTTTTCTTTCGGTATCTTTTAGTCGCAAATGTCATCTAAGATTCTCGTTCTTTTCGTGTTTTGTGTTGTGCTTAAATAAAGATTTGTGTTAGTGTGCTTCATTCATTCATTGTCGTTGGGGTGTGTGTGTGTGTGTGGCAAGTTTATGTGCATTTCTGGCCTTCATTGTTGTCATTCTCTTCGGTCGCCATTTCATTGTTGTGTCGAAGAGAGGGGTGAGAAGGCAGTGGCAGTGGCAGCAGCAGAAACAGCAGAGGAAACACTCATTCACTCACACAATGGCATGCCTCGTCGAGTGGCAAGCGCACAAATTAATACGTATGTGCAACAATTGAGAGAGAGTGAGAGAGAGGGAGAGAGAGTGTGTGAGTGGCAGAGTGTGTGTAATATGCATGTTACCTACTTTTGTGAGCTTTTAATTAACAACAGGCTTCCTACAGAGGGAAAAGCGGAAGAAAAGCCTTGAAATCTTAAAAGGCTTTGTGCGGCAGGCCTTTGTGGTGGGCTTTTCAATATGTGGCATGACTGTGTCCCGGTTCGGAGCTCGTTAAATATGCATTTTGTTGAGAGTTGCATACATGAGTATAATGTGACCTGATTCCGCCAGATTCGCAGCAGCATTGAATCAAAACGCATTCGGAAATCAGAAATTTCCTCGATTCTTAAAGCTGAGTTCCCCAGAAATAACTCTCGGATAAAGAACAAATAAGCAGCGGTGGCGGAACCGGCACCATCCCCAGAGCCATATACAAATATTTATCCAAAGTTCCGGCCCTGCGATAAAGAAAACTCTGAAGAGCCCCCAGCTCCCCCCAGCGAAAATGTCACGCAAATGAGCAAAATTTGTGCAGCTCTTTGCAGCATAGCATTCAATGGAATTATGTACATAAATATTCAGAGAGAGCGGGAGACGTTCCGTTCTTTGGCATATTTTGTATTCTTCATTTTTTGTGCGCTTTTTATTTCCTATTTTCATTTTTATTTATATTTATATTTTTATTTGACTAGACGTGCGTCAGTCAATCATGGCCCAGAGTGGCAGCGAAAAACTTTTTTGCCAGCTCCCCCCCGCTGGGGAATTCGTCAAGAAAAATGTTGGATTGGAAGAGAAGCGGAGAAGTGGAGTCGAGGCATTGCCATCGACAGCAGCCGTGCAGAGGAGGCAAATTGCTGCCAGTATGTTTGTAATGCAAACAAACTTTATCTAATTAAAGGAACACGTGTTACACAACGAGAGAGCAGACGGAGACGGAGACTGCTGCCTACTCTACTCTGCTGCCCCCATCTCTCGTCTAGGCAGCGTCTTCATCTTGAGCATCCTCCGAACCATCATCATCATCGTCATCGTCTTGGGGATCGACATGGACAGCTTCATCTGGGCGTGCCTTTACTGGCAGCTGCTTTACATTGATGACGACGCACTCGAAACGCTTTTGATGTCTCACTTTGCATTTGCCGATTCGACATATTCTCGCATGCGACTCTGCCAATGACTATGTGTGTGTGTGTGTGTCTCTTTATGCGTGTGCGTGTGCGGGTGCTTCCGCTTCCTGTGTGAGACGAGACTGCCGATACCCCCCTAGGCCTCTCATGCCTGACTGGGTTTCGTCTCTATGACTGGGAACTGGCAACTCTGCCTGTCGAGTGCCTTTTGAGTTGTTTGTCAATATGTAGACCATTATTCAATCAATATATTGACACACATTTCATTTCCTCTTGGCAAGTGCTCCACCTCCTCCCTCAGCCATGTCTCGTGTCCCGTGTCCCGTGCCACCCCCATCTCACGCCAATAATCCGGCCAAGTGCTAATCGCAAACAAAGTAGTTTTTGCTTGAGTTCCATTTCAATTTCTTTTGACGTTTACTTCGTCCCTTCGCTTTGGCCCATTTTTATGGCTCGTGGCTGTTTGGTTTTTTGCTTCTCCCTCGTCTCAGTCTCCGTCTCAATCTCCGTCTTCGATTCGATTCAATTGATTCCCTTAGCCAGTTTTACGTACTTTTGACACACTTCCAAGGCTGTGCTGCTCCGTCAAGGCATGCCCCCGGGGACATACATTTCCGCTTAACTATTGTACTAGGGATGAGGGACCAAGGCCCGCGCCAGGGACCAGGACTATGCTCCTTAAATTGAATTTGCAGCCAGAGTCCTCTTCTATTTGCACACGAGTCGGGGCGGGACCCGATTCGCTGGCATTTTTCTTCCCAGTTTCCCATTTTTAATTTAATTCTGCGCCTTTTGCTGTGGCACTTAAAAAGTTTCCCTGCTCGCAGCCGAAAAGTAGGCAACGATGCGGCGATCTCTTAAGCCATTTCAAGGATTCATTTCCTTTCCTTTCGCTTCCTTTCGTTTCGATTTTGAGGAGAAATAAAGATGGTGAAACAGACTAGGGATTACTACTACAACAGTAGTTAGGGGATTTGTTATGCCAAGCCAAGAGTAGTGTCGAGAATTGACTCCTGAGGCACAGCCGCCTAAACCTCATTGAATCGCTTGCCTCTTGCCACTAGAAACGTTTGATTCTGCGACTGCGACTGCAATATTCAATTTAACTTTTTCAGGCGGCTGCTGGGGCCCTTTCATTCCATTCTTCAATTAACCAACTCTAAAACACGCTGCAAACTTGGCCAAAGCGAACGCGGCCAGTCGGAAAGAGTTGAGTGGCCCCTGGTACTACTCACCTTGCCGTTCACGTCCACTGGCAGCAGTACACTCCACTCCAGTCCTGCCTTTAAAGCTGCTGCCTTTGACTGCACCGATCTCTTAAAAGTTTCAAGGCTCTGGCCAAGTTTTTCCTCTTCCTTAATTATGCTAAAAGCAGCAGCAGTGGCAGAAGCAGCAACCACTCTTCGCAGCGGGAGGAATGAATATTTACACCTGCCCCACGGCTAGATGCAAATGTGGCGCCAATGTCAAAGCCATCAAGTGCGGCAAGTGCGGCAAGGGCGGCAAGGGGCAGGTACGAGTGAGCACAAAATTTGAATCACACACAATTTGAAACACCCACGAGTTGCCGGTGGTCCTGGTCCTGGTCCTGGTTGTGGCATTCGCAGGAGAATTTCAGTTTGATTTGCGGCTGCCTTTATTGCTGTTGGGTTTTCACTTTCCACAGGCACGTGCACTGCTTTTCGGCTTCTCAAATGTCTCTGGCGGAAAAGTCTCGCATCTTTCGGGGACACACGCTCGACATGAGGCCGGGACTCGCGGGCTCTGGGGTCTGTCTACTCCGGCGGACAACACGAACTGACGGCCGCCGGATGGAACAAAGGCTTTTCAATGCGAACTTGACTTTAGTGGAAGCCCGAAATCCAACACGGACTCGCTCTCCGCTTGGCATACTCTCTGGTGAGTCTGCGCAGGGGGAATCCTCGATTCTCTGGCACGTTGCACGTGCTTCCAGGCATTCCCCTCCTCTCTCTCTCTCTCTCTGTATCTCTCTCGCTGTCTCGGTCTCTCGGGGAGTGAGAAATGTTTGTTTACATTTGGCAAAACAACAAGGAGATGGAGATGGAAATATAGGAGTAGCAGCAGGCGGAGTCGGTGCCGGAGGATGGGATGTTGGATGTTGCCTACTTTTGGGGCAGCAATGAAATATGACTGCTGCAATTGCATTCGTCTCTTTGACAGCCAGCGCCCGAAGGCCCCTTCTGTGACTGCTGCAAATTGAGCAACAAGCTGCTCCATCGGAGTGTATCTCCGAGATACGGATGCGACATCGATTCCCTATGATTATGCAGCTTAGCTCTGCTCTGGCATTGGCTTTGACTGTTCCTTCGCACTTATTCCATATGGGTAGTGCAGTTTAGCGCACTATGGCATTAATTTTAATGCATCTCCCTCACAGCTAGCCCTGCCTGGGGCTTGAGGCAGGACGCGCCCTCCTGGATCGGAAAACTTTTTTAATTATCATTAATGAACACGAAGTGCACAACAGCAGAGAACAATCATTGGCCAAGTTTTGCACTGCAATTATTTTAATGTTCAATGAGGTTGCAGCAGTCGCTGTAGAGGCAGGAGGTGGCAGGAGGGGGGCAGGAGCAGTCATCGCCAATGATTTATTGCCTGGGCCCTATTCTGAAGTTTCCGTTTGGCTTTCGCTCAGGGCTTTTCTGGCCAAGACCAAGCCCATTCATTGGATGTTCGGAGTGTCTGTGTGTGTGTGTGTATGAAAGTTGCCGGGCTTTGGCAATTAGATAGCAGACAGGAAGGGGGCATGGGGCATGTGGCATGGCGGCATACGATAGTCCATGAAACAGCGTTTATGTTTAATGCGTTATAATGGCCGTTGTAAGTGTACATAAGTTGATATAAAAGTTTTATGGCCGGGGCGTGAGAAGCCTCTGTGATCCCCGATAAAGGGCCCCGCATAGCGGAGGGAGAATAAGGAGAGCGGAACATCCTTACAGAGCAAACCGAAAGTTATCACAATCGAAATTTGGATTTAATTCAACTCTCGACACCCGAAATGAAACATAATTTATGCATTGGCAGCGAGAATTGAATTAGGATCCAACATTTATTAGATATTTATTGGTGTTTCTAGTGGGTCTTTGGCATTTCCATTTCCATGGCCTAAATGGCACGAAATGCCTTCCATTCGAGCCACAAGAATGGGACATTTTTGTGGTTTCTCTATATAGTAGAGAGATGTGGCCCAGCCATTGTAACCATTTATTGAATTTACTTTCATATCGCCAGCCATAAATTATGTATATACAACAATTTTCCATAATTTATGCCCGCTTCAAAACAATTCGTTCCCTTTCGCCCATAAAACCCATCGAAGGGAAATAATTCCAATGGAAAAACCTAAACACGCCTGAATACCTCCCCGAGCACGGACGCACACGCACACTGAGGCGGGGGCGGAGGCGAAGGCGGATGGGATACACAGGCGGATACATGTGTTTGGACAGATATCCGTATCTATAACTGCCTCACAATTGCAGCTCACTTGCCGCAGAAAGCCCGATAAAGGAATAAACAAGAAGTTGGTGCCAGCCGAGGGCAACTCGATGGTCGTACGCCCTCCCGTACTCCGATGGAGTCCCTGCCTGGCCTGCTGCCGCAGGACTATGCCCGCTGGTGAGGGTATTACAGAACCATTTCCATTCCATTTTGCTTCTACAACCCTGCCCTTGCACGGCAACCCGCGACCCCGACCCCATTTATGACATATGCGCAGGTCGTGAGGGGCACTGTGGGATGGATGGATGCGTGCAGCAGTCAGCCAGACGCATCACCAGCCCCACAAAAAATCCTTCGATTTAAGCGCTTTTCGCTTCGAGGCAGGTTTTTTTCTTTTGATGCCAGTGCATGGCAAAGGGCTGTATCGGAATCGGAATCCACGGATCCCGGCATCCACGCATCCACACCTACCGCCTCTGCCTGGGACCGTGCCGTGCGCCCCTTTATGACAAACCGTGGCGAATGACAGAGGGAGGGGAGTCGAAGGAATGCTAGGTAACCGTAAAATAGAATCAGGGATGGGGCGGCGTGTGGAGAAAGGAGAGTGAAAGGAAAGAATTGCAATAAAACATAAAATTGCTGACTTCAATTCGTTTGCCATTTAGGTTTCGTTTTCCCTTTTCACACCCGCTACTCGTGCAGCGCCAACGGGTATGCCGGACTTGTGGCAAAGCAGGCAACAGGCAGACGCACGGAAGTGCTTCCAATCCGCGGCTTCTACACCTGCAGAAGCAGCTTTTATTTCTTGTTTGCTTTCATAAATTTGTAGACTTATTTTCCGAGGATTTCATAGACGGATCCCACTTAAAGGGTATCTTATAGTCGTGTCTATAGTGATTATGCCACGTATTTTATTTGCCATGCCCTGCCATCTGGGGCATTGTGTGGACGTATCTGATGTGTATGTGTGCGTGTGTGTTTCTGTGGGCGTTTTAGGTTGGAGAGCGGCATGGATGGTGCCAGTAGGGAGGCTGCGTGGCAACCTGCGCTCGCCCCTTTATATATTTTATTAGGTTTTATTTGATTTACACTTGTTTCGTGCTAAAAGCATTCGCATTCGCATTCACCCCCCATGGCCAACTGTACTGGTGGCTGGAGGCTGGAGATTGGAAGAGTCACAGTGGATTGAGTGGATTTTTTAATTTCATAAACGATAAGCGTTTTATTGGTTTTTACAGTCTAGAAGTCGAAGTAAAGAAGCTGTCGCAATTTGTATTTAATTATTCCTTTATTCTTTCTTTCTTTATAACTCGACTTGCCACACCAACTACTTTTACGAGAGTGAGCTGAGCCGAGAAACCAGCAGAAGGCCGGCCAGAAGGTTGATCTCCAATACATACGCAATTGCTGTAACGCAATGGTTGTCTCGCTCCAACGCTCTAACTATTGATCCTTGTTCTGTTTCATCCTGTTTTGTATATCACAGGAACAGGCAGCCTTTGGCTCTGAGAGAGCCGAGAGCAAAGAAGCGAGAGGAGTCGAAGTCGAGAGTCAGAGACAGTCAGTCGTAATTCAGCCACGCATCGTACGAAAATCACACACATAAGTTAAGAACATAACTGTACCACAAATTGTACTTGGAGCTAAGAAATATATATAATAAGTTCAACATCCATACTTATAAATAAATTGCCATTAAGCAAACGAACTATCTACATATATATATATGGGCTACTCCCGTTGTTGTTGTTGCTGTGAAGCCAACACGTTTCTTGGAAAGCTGATAAGCCTGTGGATCGATTATGAGCAGAGCTTTCGAGTCTTGCTTTGCCGAAAATATTGTGGCAGTTTCTTTCAACGCTCGCTGGCGACATGATCGGCTTTCTGTGGAGGAGCTTGGCGCTCTGCCTGCTGGCAGCGCTTATCGGTACGATTCTTGCAGCTCCCGACTATTGCAGCAACTTCGATGACGTTCCTGGGCGGTGCATCAGCTACCGGAGGTGTCCGTCCATCTCTGCGATCGTGCGGAAAAGGCGCTCCGGCCGAGAGCTCAGCGCCAGGGAGCAATACATCTGGAGCCACGCCGACTGCTCGGAGGAGAAAAAGGTGAGTCACATTGGCTGTGCGGAGAGCTCGTACGAGAATCCGATAGAATAGTCAGATAATTCCATGATGTGGCACATGACGACAGAGCTATGTGTGCTGCGTGGACGGCATCAATGTTTCTGGACTGGAGATGCTGAGGAATGAGACGGAGTGCGGCAAGTTCACCTTGGCCAAGGTCACGAATGGTCGAGAGGTGAGGATAGGCTCGAGACCCTGGATGGCCCTGCTCAGGTATAATGAGACTACGAATTACAGGAACCAGTTTGCTTGCGGAGCCACACTCATCTCGAAACGTAAGTAGGGTCTCCGCTCCTCGTGGAACAATCTCTGAACCTACCACCCTACCACCCTCCCACCTCTAGGCTTCGTACTGACTGCAGCGCATTGCATGAACACTGCTAACCCGTAAGTTGACTCCTTACAAGCATTATGTGCAAACCTTATAAAGTCTGCTTCTGCCACAGAGTCGCGGTTCGATTGGGAGAGCACAACCTATCCACGGAAGAGGACTGCGTCATGGTGCGCTCTCAGACACGGTGCCAGCCGGCCCCCCAGGATATAGGAATCGAGAAGATCATCCTGCATGAGGGATTCCCGGAAAACGTCACCCATAACGACATTGCTCTCATAAAGCTGAACCGAGACGTAGAGTACTCGCGTAAGCAAATCCCAGCAGCAGCAGCTCCCACGAATGGGCGGACCTGTAATGAGCATTTCTTGAATTTCAGCTCAGATCAATTCCATATGCCTGCCCCTTAGCCAGCAGAAGGCCATCCTGGAACAATCGATCTACCTGGTGACCGGCTGGGGGATGACTGAGAACAGAACGATGTCAAATGTGCCCATGGAGGCCTATGTCAACCGTGTTGACACCCAGGACTGCAAAGATGCTTACAGCAAGTACGCGTTCGTGGACACTCAGATCTGTGTATCTGGCGAGGCGCAAGACAGCTGCAGCGGCGACTCTGGCGGCCCGCTGCAATCTCTATTCCGGTACCACGGACAGCAGCGCTTCGTCCAGGTGGGGATCGTCAGCTTTGGGCCGGCAAACTGCGGTCAGGGATCTCTCCCGTCGGTGTACACGGACGTGATGGCGTTTCTGCCTTGGATCACGAACCAGATTGCGCGGTCATGAGGAGAATCGAGAATAGGATGAATCCTGCTGCTCACTCACCTCCTGGAGCTATTCTCCCCTCCCGAGGGTAAATCCTTTCGGCCCTCTGGCCTCAACGGGCACTCGAGCGCAATTAATTAAGTACGCACAGTAAGAGCACAAAGATTTTAATTAAAAATTTTGCCGAAGCTGCACAAGTGTTTTCCCTCTCCTCCATCTCCACCTGCTTGTCGTCCGCCTGCCCGCCGGCGCCACAGCCTTTGTCCGGGCAGCACTTTGTTTCATTATTTCATTACATGCCCGAGCTGCGATTGTAAGGCTTTCAATTTAAGCCGAAAACTGTTCAACGGCAATTGGTAATTGCCAATTGACAACTGCCAATTGGCCATACTCGTACTCCTACTCGTATTCGTATTCGTATTGTGGCAGCACTGCCTCTCTGGCCCACCTTGCTGCACCTTGACACACTGAACTAAGCCCGCAGAGGAAGCACCGTGTGAGTATGCCCCACTTTCTGTGTGTGTGTGTGTGTGTGTGTGTGTTTGTGTGTGGGTGGGAGATAGATAACCTTTATCCAGTTAGGGCCCTTGCTAGTGAATGCAATCCTCCGGCAGCATCGCAAGCGGACGAGAAATTCTAAAGAGTGACGGGCCAGGCCCACAGGGCAGCCAGGTGTTAATGAGTGCGATAAGATCCAAATTAGAATATTCATAATTCATGATGTTTGCCGGAATATTTGCCACACGCCTTCAATGGAAGCTACTTGGCTCTTTGCTGGCCATGTTTGCTGTGGATTCGGGCAACAGCCGCACTGCATCTGGAATGCCCTCCTCCATCGATTGGTTAAGTTCTCAGATGCATTGATTTGGACTCCAGAACAATGGGGGAAAAAAACCCCCCTCGACTGGACCACAGCCAACACCTTCATATCCCACATCCCACTGCCACTTCCACTGCCACTGCTGCAAGCTCCAGCTCCCCTAGCGACAGGTACGTGGATCCAGGTGTTTGCTTTTGAGCTTAGCGCCAGCAGCCCCAAAGACAAAAGCAACTTCACACGCTCCTTCTCCGTCTCCGTCTCCATCTCTAGCTCCAGCTCCATCTCTCTTCTCCTTTTCCGGCTCATGTTCATCGTGAAAGGGTCCGCAGGTATTAAGGTCAGAACTATAAAACATGCAAAGCACAGGAGGCCAACAGCTGCCGGGAGTTGCCTCCAGCTCAGTCCATCTGAAAAACAAACACATACAGAGAAAGGGAAAGAGAAGGACAGCGGAGACAATGAGTGTGTGAGTGTGTGTGAGAGAGAGAGAGTAAATGAGAGAGCTATGCAAAGTGATTCAGATTCCGGACTCCGGACTCTGACTCGGATGCAGTGAGTCAGGGCATTTATTAGTTTATCAGTAAGTAGAGTTACAGTCCTAGAGCTGGAATATCATTTTGAGGTCTGCTGATCAGCCCTGGATAAGTCGCAGAGTCACAGAAAACCGCCAGTTCCCGGCAGAACTCATACGAAACATAATCATTGAAACACAAAATCAACGACTGTATTATTCACAAGAGTGCGAAGCCTTGACTGGACTCACTTGCCGTGACCGTGGCCGAACAGGATGCGGCGACCATAAATATGCTACACTTTGGCGTGATGACCTCCTATCCTCTCCAAGTCCAGCCTCACCTCCAAATCCTTTTCCCACATCGTTTTTGATGCTTTCGCTGCAGGAGAAGGCTTTAGCTTCGGAGCAGCGAACGGACACACACTCCCTTGTCGTTTGCGGTTGTTCTGGTTTCCGGTTAACACGCACACACACACATATGCACTCTCACATATGCATATGAAAGTGTTCCTGTGTTCCGTTGAGTGTCTGTGTGTTCGTGTGTAGAGAGTTTGGCTTGTCTGTTTTGATCCCTTGTTAATAATATAAATGATGATTTATGACCCTCCGAGGAGCAGAACTACAGCGATTGTCGGGGTCCAGCAGTCCAGCAGCTGGGTCAGCGGTCAGTGGTGAGGGCAACGGTCAGGGGTCATGGGTCAGGGGCTAGAGGCTAGAGGCCAGGCAGAAACAAACGCCTAATGAATTATTGATCAACTCCACGATGGCCAACTCTCAGCGTAATTGACAATTACTCTCCCAAAAAGGCAAGTAGGTGGATGAGAAGAGCTTGGAGCACACTCCCCCAGAGCACAAGGAAATATTTAAAGCATTTGCCAGCACATTAAAATCGAATTTCGCAACGCAAAACAACAAAATAATACAAAATGGGGCCATGCACGCAGACATTCACCCCTCCAGAAGCAGAAGCAGACTCAGAATCAGAAGGAACCCCCGATATAGAAGGCATAAAAAAGCCGCAGGACTCGGTTTTGTGACCCACCAAAGCAACAAAAAAACAACGAAAATTTATGCAAACGAATTAAATCGGCACGCTGGCAGGAAGCCAGGGACAGAGACGGGAACAGAGCCAGTAGCAGAAGTAGGACTAGGATCACGACCAGGAGAAGGAGAAGCAGGGACGCGCACCCCATGCTGATTGCGCATGCTAAAGTATAATGATACAATATATATTATTTGGGGAAAATTTAAATATTTGTACCTTCCAGGCGATGGCCAAAACCAATCTACTTACCGCCGATAAGCTCTCGGGGGCCAACTTTGGCAATTAGCCGAGCCCCTGGAGAGGATCTGAGGCCATATCGAAGACGGAACCGATAAAGTGCTTAGAGGCTACTAGGGAGCGGAGCATTCAATCGCTTACGGGAAACATCTAGCGGCCTGTTTGCCTTCTTTTGAAATTGAAAATTGCACACAGCGACAATAATTCATGCCCCATAGAGCGGGGTTCGGGGGAGCTGAGGCCATATCATAAGTCAGAGTCGGGGCCAGAAATATAACAACAGGCGACGCATGCCAGGCACATACCAGCTCATACCATATATCATTCTGCCAGTTGAGCGTGAATCAGAATGGAACTGGAACCCAGAGTGGGATGGCGGCAGGAAAATAAAAATAAACAAGCTTGAGTTGCAAGTGTTGCAAGGGGATGGATGGAGAGGGGAGGGAAAAATAGCAGCAGCAGCAGCAGCAGTACAGACTTATTCGAATAGATAGATACCCCTCGGGCACGTTGTCCGAGTGTATTCCAGGGACATCAGTGAAGGAATCTATTCCTAAATTGATCAATGAGGTGTGAGGGAGGTGGATTCTATATGGACTTAGAAGAGATTGCAGTGCTGCTCATGACAAAATCATTTGCGTAGAATACAATTTAAAGCTGTAGATGCGAATACCAATGGTTTTCCTCGTTTTAATAGGGAGGGATACCTCAGCGGGCAGCAGGTATGAGGCGTCGACCAAAGTTCAGAAATGTAGGAATGACTGAGAGGAGAACCCCGCTGTGCTGCCAGTGGTCCCTTCCCCGTCCACCTCTACAGATCCCTTTCTCTCTCTCTCTCTCTCTCTCTCTTTCTCGTGGCGAATTCTCATTGTTGGAAACATGGCAGTATCCTTAGGCCAATGCATTTGATTGTGTTTGTTGCCTCACAATGGAGCCATTTGCCTCTGCCTCTGCCTCTGCCTGTGTGGGTGTTAGTTGTGTGTGTGTGTATGTGTTTGTGTGTGTGTGCGTGTCGCTGTCTTGACTTCCCAGGGAATTGTTGATGCCGTGTTCCCATTTACATGTGCGCCGCCTCCACCATGCCCCCGAACGAGCTTCTGCTCGTTCTAGCCCCTGTCCTGCTTCTTGTGGCGTGCCCATAACACGGTTATTGCATTAAGCAAAGTTGTAGCCTAGATTTGAATGCCACACGGCCGTGGCAGGCACTCTCTCACCCCGCCCTATCCCCACCCAGTGTGCGCCCGGCATTGTCTAGGACTTTCGCTTTGTTTAAACATTCAACGTTCATTATTTCTTCTTCGTCAGTTGCCTCCTGCCTACTGCCACGCGTGGCATCCACCACTCTCATTGCCAGTCCCAGTCCCGCTCCCATTTCCATTTCCCTTCCCCCAACCATCACGCATTTCTCGCTGTTGCATATTTAATAAACTTTTCAGTTAATTTTCATCATTCGCATTATTTTCGCGGCACATGCGTGTTAACAATTTATTCCCACCGTCCCAGCGCCCCATCACCAGCTCCATTCATCTTTTTTCGCTTCCAGCTTCCTAAATATTTATGAGTCCGCTCTTGGCTCTTCATCGCGGTAAATATTTAAAGCGAACATTTTGCCACACTGCCACTGCTGCCTGCCCCAAAGTAGCCTTTAAAGCGGCACACCCACACCTCCCCGATGATTCCCGGAATATGTTGCAGCTACTACTCCGTATAGTATAGCACGAGTTATATGGCTTCATCATAGTCGGACAAACGTGTAATTTCATGTGGCATAATTTGCTGAAATAAAATAATTAAATGTGACAATGTGCAGAGTGGCTGGGAGGCTGAAAGTGTTGCGGCAAAACGCTTTAATTGATGGACAGAATGGAGAACGGCGTGGGTGTGGCTTTTGCACTGAGCGGGGACTGGGAATACCCTCCTGAATAGAAGCCGTGACATGACAAAGTCATTGCCGTTGACATAAACAAGCACACTGCGACGACTCCTGCTCGGCTCCTGCGGCATTCAAATCGAGGGCCAGGCCAGGCCTGAGCCCCTAACCCTCCGATTCCATTGAACACTGACTCTTGCCGCCAGGACGTGCTCTCTAGAGCAAATGTCGAGCGTTTTGTGGGGGCCCCGGAAAAGCGACAAAACGAAAACAATGTCAAACACATCAAAGTCAAGCAGCGATTTTCCAGCGCTCTCGCGCAATCTCTCCCATTCCCATTCCCATACCCGTTTCCATTCCCCAAATGGCAAATGGCAGGCAAATCAACTGAAAAATCCCAACAAAAAATAACAGAAAAAGTAAATGTATACACGGAGGGAGGGATGCAACGTGTAGTTGGAGCGCAGCAGGGAAAATCGGTTGCACAGGGAAAAAGTAAAAGGAAAAGGAAAACTGAAGGGGAAAAAGTGCAGTTTTGGCAAAAATGGAGAACGATGTCAAATGCAAATTGACAGCTTTCAATATCAATTCCAAAACAATCGCGAGGGAAATGAAATGCCAGCGAACGAAGTAAAATCAATTTTCCTTGTCAAGTGCAACAGACACACTCTCTTGCTCTCTCTCTCTCTCTATCTATCTCTGTCTCTGTCTGTCTCTTTCTGTCTGTTTGGAACACTAAATGCCTTGCATGTAACACTTCAACTTCATTCGATTGAAGCCATTCAAATGCAATCAAACGGCTTGACAGGTTAAATTAATTAAACCGGATTTATGTGGATACATCAGAAGTTGTCCGCAGAGGACTCTCCACTCTCCACTCACAACTGTCGGCTCACAACTCCTTTGGCTCCCTTGGCCGGCTTTGCTTTGGTCGGTTCTGTTGCTTTTGATGTGGTTTCGGTTTATATTGGTCGCATGCCCAGGATTCCAATGGCCAGTCGTCTGAGCAGTCACCGGGCTTGACGTGTGGTTTAGGTGCATTTCGCAAATTACCCTTGCGGTGCCCCAGAGCAGAAAAGGAGAGAGCTCTGCTGTGCCCTGCCCCGCCCTACCTTGCCTTTCCTCGACGCTGTTTGTCAATAGAATAAGTATTTAATCATCAGATGAGTAATTTGCATAAATTAAGTCCGCCCAGCCCGAGTAGGTCTGCACTTGCAACAGCAGCGATAAGACGGTCTGCCTCCCCGGGGAAGACGAAAATCTTGTTATTTTCGTATACACTGGCCTGCTCCCAGTCCAAGTCACATTTCCATTGCAGTTCCGATAAAATTCGCAACTTTCAGCATTTCAACAAGCAAATTATAAGAATAGCAAAAGGGGAAGCTCAGAGAGGGAAACGCAAAACAAAACGTTGCGACTATAGGATATCCCCAGTCGGTCTTACTTCCATATCTGTGAATATTCAACATCGTTTTTCTGGAATCCAAAGGACTCCTTCGGTTGCTTGAATAGAGCATACCCTTTCTGTTCAGCCGTACCGTGTATTAAAACGGCAAAAGGTCCGACGAACATAATGCGAAGGGGCATAAATTCAGGGAATAAATTTCAATGCCCCTTATGCGCATTTTTCTTATCGGGCAGACATTCCATGTAAAAGAGCCCCACAGACTTCACGGAATCGCATGGAATCGAATCGAATCGAAGGGATGGCATCGACGTCGACATGGACTCGAGGGGGAGG